TGAATCCCTCTATCTATCCCTACTAATAATAGTATATGCAAAAGTAACTCACTTTGTTATTCTTTAACGCCTTAAGCACTGCTTTGATTTTGATGAAATTTAGCATATAGTTAGTGTAAAGTTAAGAAAAAAAGTAATAAAAGTAGTAATAATTAAAGTAGTTTTAATCCCGGTTTTTGAAACAGGAACGCTCGCAGTAAAGTTTTTCTGTGACAAACAAAATATATTATTATACACATAATAGTATTATTTTGACTAGTACTGTCATCTGTCTTCTTCTATTGTAGATGTAAAAAGCATTGGTTCATATCAACTGATGCTAGTAAGTATTATATTCTTTCAATAACCAAACTGGAATTGTTTCTCCATAATAACATCTAAGAAAATGGAAGTCCATTATGTGAAATGAAAATCACTATTCATTCAATAACGTTTATATCCCTTTAAAAGATTCTAGTCACAGCCCTTGTCTGGACTCTCCATCTGTTTGCAATCTATTACAGATAAATGTGGGCAAATAACGCGATCAGGCTACATATCTTTTAGATCTTTTTGTTATTGAAAGGTAGTAAACTTTTCAATATCTATTAACCGCTTGAGTCCCAGACGGCATTAATTAATGTCATAACAATTGATTATCTATTTTGTCTAGATTCGCGGGCCTTGAAGGATTAAAGTACCTAAATGTTAAAAATTTTAAAACTTTATCTTAGGAAATTCGTTCTCAAACACATCATTCACAATAGACTGTGAGTCTATTTTAGAAATAATTTCCATCCACTCGTAAAATTAAATATGTAAAAGAAAACAAATAACCACTGGTCATTTTCTAAAGAATATTAATAAAATATAGAGGTTTGTCCTTTTTTAGCTTCTACATTGACTATAACTGTTATTATGAATCTTTAACTTTGTCTATAACATATTTTAAACTTAATTACTTAACAAAATATCATCTTTGTTATGGATTCGTTAGAAAACTTCACAATTGTACATTTTCGGAATCTTAAAAGTATCTCTACCTAAACTAAAATCTAGGACAGTAACATCATTATTTTATTTAATGTCTTAGGTACTGAGGCTTTTTTCTGGAAACCTCATAGAGGAGGGCAGAGGTGTGAATGCTCTGTAAATCATAAGTTAATATCCTTTTTTGGAACACTTTTTTATATGGCAGACACATTAGAGACCGTTTTTGGTGCGTAAATCAAACTAGGACTTCATTATTGCAGTCAATGATAAAAAATAACTGTAAAGATTTATTTGTATTAGGTTATAGGTACAGGGTGGCCCAGAGGAAAATTCACTTTTGAAAACTTAAGGAAACTGTACATTTTTGTAGAACTTAAACTATTGCAATTTAAAGGAAATATCATGCAGTTTATTTTTAAATTTACTTTCTTTTTTAAATTTGATCGTACATGTTAAAAAATTTTGGAAAACTTTCATTATAGTTACCTCGAAATGGATTCAGGGTGGATGAATGCTGCAGAGTTTTTGGATTATTAGAATATACCCTGCTCGTAACGTAACCCCACAAAAAGAAGTCTGCTGGAAAGAGATTAGGGCTTCTTGGTGGCAATGAGATATCACGAAATCTCAGAAAGTACAAGTGCTAGGAGTTTCAAATTTTGCACGGGGATTCCTTTTAAAACGTAGGTGCTCACTAAGACAGAATTTTGCGAAATTCATCCCCCAAGAAGGGTATTCGCGTAGCAACAACCGGATTACTTGGTATGTGATCAATTTTTCTTTAGATAAAACATTTCTCTTTATTTTTCAAGCGAATACACGTAGATAACATAAACCATTGTGATCCCAAACCAGAGTAAATTGCTCAAGCGTGTAAATTGACTAATTATGTCAACTGTTAGGACATGACATAATTAGTCAATTTACACGCTTTTATATCTCTCTCTCTCCAATAAACTACTCATACTCCTCATATGCTAAGATGGTGTTTAGGATCTTTCGCTTTTTCATCCAGTCTCTGACTAGGTATTTCTTGAGGTCGTCGATCCATCACGCAAGGGGGTCCCTAAACAACTTTTTCCGCGACGTGATCTACATTCGAGAACTCGTTTACTCGGCCTTTCATCGTTTCAGGCAGATGTGGCTTTCCCACTGCCATCTTAGCATGTCTATATTTTAGGTTTCCCTCAGTAATTTTGTTTGGAAGCTAAAAACCATAGAGATACAGAGAGATGCCAACTAATGCGCTGAGTTCGAAACTCAGTGTCGCTTTAGGAATTCACACACACAAAGTAATCAAAATATGTGCTCAGTATCCACTGCGGTATCAGTACTCAATGTTCGAATAATCTTAAGTACTACGCAAGCAATGTCGCTGCTGTCATCATTGCTGTCACAAGCAATGTGTTCTGTTTTTGGGCATATTGCTGCGACACCGGCCCCGCCACTCTGTCATGTCACACCTCCCTTTAGTTTCTGTGATCTGTGCTAAAAACCGATAGTAAAACTGTTAGATTCTACGGTTCACTATAGCTGACCCGGCGAATTTCGAACCGCATATCGTCGCCTTAGAGTGAAAACCTCGGGAAAGCACTCTTTCTCATATTTGTGCATTTTGGTCAGTCTTACAGAATATAGGTAACGCAGTTTTTATTCTCTGCTGTAAAATTACTCACTTACTTACACAGGTCCTCACTTTAGACGTCGATTCATCAGAAATAATGTAATGGTGAAATAAGTTTTCAAATTGGTCCAGCATTTTCGGAGCCTATTAAATACAAATAAACTAACAATTAAAACTTCCCTCTTTATAGTGTTGGTCTAGATTTTTATGAGATGGTGATACGACATAATAAGTTATCGGTTTCATGAAACAAAGATGGCTCTTGTCTGCGACCTTTCCTCTTCCAAACTTTTTATTGAGGGCGTACACAAAATGAATGTATGCAGAGTAATAAAACTTAATAAAAGTTGTAAGGTCGTCTAGAAAATATGTGAGAAATTGGCCTTTGTAATTCAATATTCGCTAAGAAATCATTTCTAAGACAAATTGCTGGATTCAAACGTGAAATATCAGTCTTTTATACCTACAAATTGAGAAAGAGAATATATTTATTTTACAAATTGGGAAAGTAACTACCGTGAAAAGTTATGTATGTATATGTAGTTGTTTCTAAAAGTTAACATAGCTATATTAGCTCAGTTAAGCTTCGCGACCAATGACAGGACGCGTTGATGTGAACTCATCGCTACAAATTCATACACGACATCTGATCGCCATCGCGCACGCAGGCTGCACGCGTTGGTTTGGCTGCCCCTTTAGGCAAACTTTACAGTCTAGTCAGTCAGATATCTAGACTTTAGTGCTAATCAAACGTGAGCGATTTTGCGGCAGTAAACTAAACCGATTATACTCGTAACTCCACGTTAAACAATTCTATAGCTGGTACTAAAACGTATTGAATAATTCAATTTTATTACAAGCAATTACCGAATATTCGGCTGCGACGGTCCCCAGCGACACTATTGTCAGTGATTAATGCCCGAGGACGTTGGCTAAGATTAAACAGACAGATCGTTTCTGAGATGTTTTTAGGTTCTAGTTTCAGAAAAATGACATTATGGGAAATCTGTCACCAATGTGGGATATGATGCTCAACCACAATAAGGAAGCTAGATGTTAGTGCTTCCTTCCGAGCGGGTGTTGTGCTCGGGGACCAAGGTCCAATTTACACCATCTTGGTTTGCCTATATATACTTGGCAGGATATAAAACTCCGTCACCGCGATGCAGGTTTGTATGAGCGGCGGAGTGTGCCATAGTGAAGTAGTGACAGCGCCATCTGTTGGTCACTAGTTTGTAGTGGCGTCGCCGCAACATCCTTTGCTAAAGGTCAAGGATTTCCACAACGACCGGTCCTGCGCTGCCCTCATCCAAATGCTTCCAGTGACCTTCAGCAGATCGTCGGTGCACCTAGTGAGAGGCCTGCCCACATTACTCATCTTCCGGCCCTTGGTCGCAACTCGAGAACTTTTCTGCCCCAAAAGACATCAGCTACTTTGGTTTTCCTGCGGATCTCCTACATTTTAATAAAATATAATTAAACCAAATTTTCTAACTCCGCACAGAAAATAAACAAAAAAATAATAATCTGATTGGATAAAGATAGGTATTAGGTACTCAATGGGAAAGAAACTGAAAAACAACAAATAATACCCTCAAGGCTCGCGCTGCCAAGTTGTTTTGTACGCCAACGTGAAGAAATAAGAATTTAAATTATTTTCCGTGGGTTGGCTCCTTTCGATTTGCTTCGGGTCTCATCCTGGCCACGGGACGCGTCCGACACGGGGACGATTATTCTCAATCACGTGACACCCACGTCGCGGGTCAAGTTCAGATCCGATTGTAGCAGCAATTAAGCTTCGCCAACCCGTTATCTAAAGGACTAAGGTGTTCTCAAATTAAAGAACGTTTTTGCCCGAAATAGCTCGGATAAATATGTACCATTGGGCCTAATAAGGCCTTGTTAGGCCACATTTGTGTAGGCATACCATTACGTTCTATGGGTTAAGAACTAGAATGATTAATCTTCTGTTTGTTGTTTTGAAACTAAAATAAATATCATGCGTTTTTCGAGGCGATAAATAGGGACTTTGAGGAAGATACACTTAAGTTTTTGAAGGTCGTTCTTCTGTATTTTGTTGAGAAACAAAATTGTTAAGGAATGAAGTTTCACAGGATATTGGATTCGATATCAGAATATCAAATGTTGTTACCGGATAGATTTCAGACCTGAATTTTTAAAACTTCCATTTTCTTCCTCACAAACAGTACAATACACATAAAATTATTATTGAATATTTCTACTTTCTTAATACTTCAAGTGGTTTCAGACTTGGAAATGATTCCCACGGGCCTAGGAGTTTAATGTTCTTTTCCATCGAAACTATGAGGGATCTACAAAGTACAGCTTTATTCAACGTTCCATTATACCGATGGGTCTTCAACTAAATCTCCTTTTGTTCCAGGAATTTGGCCTCCCGAAAGCCTGGAAGGGCAGGCCAGCGTGCGCGGCAGCTCGGTAGACTACGCCGCGGCGCTCCTGCTGGCGGCGATGGCCGCTGTGCTGCTGGCTGCTGTGGGCTACCAGTGTGCTGCGACATGGCGCTGGATCATGGGCAGGTAAGCACTAAAAGTAACTGTAGCCTGGACAGTGCTTTATGGGAGCCTGGTGTCTACCAGGTGTAGTCTTACACTGCGGTGTTTCTACTGGCGGTGATGGCCGCTGTGGGCTACCAGTGTGCGGCGACATGGCGCTGTATCATAGGCAGGTGAGCGCTCAGCAGACTATAGTCTGGAATCAGGCCAGCGTGATTCTACATGGCGCTGGATCATCGGCAGGTTAGCACTCAGTAGCCTGGAGGCAGGCAGCGGGCTCATATGTAGCGATGGTTGCTGAGTTCCTGGCTGCTGTGGGCTACCAGTGTGCTGCGACATGGGGCTGGATCATGGGCAGGTAAGCACTATCAGTAGACTGTAGCCTAGAAGCAGGCAGAGGGCTCATACGTAGTGATGGTCGCTGAGTTTCTGGCTGCTGTGGGCTACCAGTGTGCGGCGACATGGCGCTGGATCATGGGCAGGTAAGCACTAAAAGTAACTGTAGCCTGGACAGTGCTTGGTGGGAGCCTGGTGTCTACCAGGTGTAGTCTTACACTGCGGAGTTTCTACTGGCGGTTATGGCTGCTGTAGGCTACCAGTGTGCTGCGACATGGCGCTGGATCATGGGCAGGTAAGCACTATCGGTAGACTGTAGCCTAGAAGCAGGCAGCGGGCTCATACGTAGCGATGGTCGCTGAGTTTCTGGCTGCTGTGGGCTACCAGTGTGCTGCGACATGGCGCTGGATCATGGGCAGGTAAGCACTATCAGTAGACTGTAGCCTGGACGCAGGCCAGCGTGTACTTGTCAGAAATGAGGAGATACGCAGGAAAACCAAAGTGACCGATATAGCTCGCAGAATTGTTAAAATCAAGTGGCAGTGGGCGGGGCACATAGCTCGTAGAGATGATGGCCTTTGGGGTAGAAAAGTTCACGAGTGGCGACTACGGGCCGAAAGACGTAGCGTGGGCAGATCCCCAACTAGGTGGACTGACGATTTGATGAAGGTTTATGGAAATCCCTGGGGGAGGCCTTTGTCCAGGAGTGGACATCATTTACGAACTATAATAAAATACATTTAAAAGAAATAGTTTTATATCTACAGGTTTAATAGGTTTAAAGCTTTATACTAATGGCACTCATTCTCCCCAGGACAAGAAGAGAATCCGAAGAGAGCAACTGCGATTCCCTCTCTCGACAAGCCGCGATCCGCATCAGCCACTCCCTACCTGATCTGCAGACGGAACCCTTGAAGCAGGAGTACGTTCAGGAGCACAAGGACCCGGCTAAGAAGGTACGTGACGTATTTGTGTGTCTAAAAAGAAAGTTCTTCAGTATCATAATCATCATCATTTCAGCCACAGGACGTCTACTGTTGAACATAGCTAGGCCCAATGATTTACATATTGACCAGTTGGTAGCGGCCTGCATCCTTCGCATTCCTGCTATATTTATGAGGTCATCGGACGTCATACGCTGCGCTTTTCGGTTAGTGGCCTCCACTCAAGAACCTTGCTGCTCCATCAGCCGTCAGTTCTGAAAGTTCTTAACAGCATCCTAATGAGGATACCAATCTTGGATGCATTTATTTTAAGCAGTTTTTAACTAAACTTCCAGTCTTCCCAATTTCTTCTTATCATAATATTTTACATGACTAGATAAAGCATTTTAATTATGTAGAAGATTAAAATACCTAGCTGTTTTCAACTCTTTGGAATTGCGGAGCGATCGTTTAAAATCCTTCTAGTGCTAGACAGACGAGTCTCTTCATTGAGACTGATTCGACTATAATTGACAGATCGAAATGAAAATATCTTGAGACCATTTCATCGCAAGGAGTGTTGTTATAAGGCAAACAACTTTTACTTGGAACGTGAATTATGAAGAGAACAAAATGCGAATAATTTCATGGATTTTTCTAGTAAAACAAATAACAGATTAAGGGAATTGACGAGGTGCAGAATTAAAGGGAAGGAAAGGAATTAAATTGGATGATTCAGTAAAAAATCCGTTAACATTTTTCTTAAATTCAATTCTCCTAGCGTTAGATAGCTCGCCGAATACATGAATAATTATCATCTTTGTTTATATCGTGCCCAAGGCTTGGAGCCCGAAATCAATAGAATTTCTTAGAAAGCTTTAGCGGTACAAGGGATAATTTGGGAGTAAAATCCCGTAAACCCTACTATGGTAAGCCCTGTGAATCCTTTCCCTTCGTTATAACGATACGTTAAAAGCTGGGTATAAGTAGAATACCTGCCCACACGAAATAGGTGGGTTTAGTTACATTATAAGGTTGTTTTTTTTGGAATACTAAATGACTTGTTTATCAAACGTTTTTATCTATTAAATTCCAATTTGTAAACATAAACAAAAAGCCCTTGAGTGACTTGGAACTATGAAGGTCGAGGTTTATATACCTACGAGTATGTATTCAACCATAATGTAATGACGTTTATATGTAAACCACAACACAAACACCCGTATTTACAAAAAATACTATAAGTGAGTAAAAAATGTTTCTGTGGAATTACAGGAACATGGGAACACACAAAGTTGGCATAAAATTTCAGTAAATAAGGGTAGAAAAAATTCGTAAATAATTTTTCTTTTTCTTCATAAAAACTCGCCGGTGTTAAGTTAATTGCTTCACCCTACCTAAAGCTGAATTTCAATAACGTCGCTCCATTTATAATGCCGACAGAAAGCAGAAAAAGGAAATTAGCGAAAAATTCCAATGCTGCAAATATCAGGGAATTCCATTGTTTTCGCGGGGCAATGTCCCTTCTGATTAAGGGCAGCTCGCACTATGTGTCACATACATTATTATTATGTAGTACAAGATGTATGTGTACGTGTTTGTACAAATGTTTTTTTCGCATTTGCGACTTCTCAAACGCGTTTTGCAAATAATTTTGGATCAGTTTTTGCAAGCATCAAATCGTACCAAATCGTATGACTTCGCATATATCTAAGTCATCACGGCACAGAATGACCTACTAAGCAATGCGAACTGTCTTTTTTCTTGCCAATGAACAGAAATATATATAAAATGCTATCATAAGTCAAGTTTCGTGGTATTCCAGCCACCATTTTGTTGTTTAATTCCAATATTGTGTAATTTCTTCCATCCTAAGGGAGATATGTATCACTTGGTTGTTTGAAAGATAATCAATATTCTTGTGCGAACAATGTCTAATATCTTTATTATACAAAATGATAATATAAAGATATTTTCACGTATTTATTGGTTATGATTAGTTACAAGAATCTTAGTAAGATGCTAATAATATATTATTTAAATATCGAATATAGTGACTATTTCACATATTAATTTACTGAGTGAAATGACGAAAAAATTGAGGATTTTGGGTCTCCAATCTGTGCTTAAATATTTACTAAATTGTGTCAACTGGTGAATTATTTTGAACTTATTTTTTTTAATAATACTACCTACGTCATTAAAATCAACTTCTTTAATCATCTCACTCGACCTAAAATAACTTGTAAAAAGTATATTTTGCTTTACGCGTTTTATAGCCCAAAACGCGTCATGATACTTTCTTAATTTTACGGTAACATCACAGAAGCCCGTGGAAGTTACGACTGGGCCGTATTTTTTATATTTCCTTGTCTAACGCGTTATTGCTAAGAAACCATAAAATGTCCAGAGTCTTATAAGAAATTGTTTTAAGCTACTCTTTGTAGACAAAACATTGTGCTTTTCAAAGAGTCTTTGAGCTCAATTTGTAGTCAATTTGTTATGGTAATTAGTAATTTATTAATTATAATACGTAACGCCTGGCGGAGCTAGCAACAAAATACATAAGTAGAGTTCGGCTATAAGGCGTGGTTGAAGCATACACGAGTTGTTTTAGAATAATTATGTACCTAATACTTAATTAGGGACAAAACATAACATGGTCATTACGAAACATTAAGACGTAGTTAAGGATCATCATCATCATCAATTTCAGCCATAGGACAACCGTCCACTGCTGAACATAAGCCTCCCCCAATAATTTCCACAAAGGCCGGTTTAAGTACTCCTGTCAAAATGACGCAGTTTGTCCTAATACTGATTTAATTAGTGAGGGCCACTTCAAAACTACTGTTTTACCTCAATAACATAAAAGAGGTGTATGATTTTAATGAAGGGTTCCGCAAAATATTCCCTCGGGTAGTCGTAATTTTATAAACCAGTAAAGCAAATTAACTTATCACCACTAAATTTCTACAAATTATTTTGAATTTTATCGTAACTGTATACAGTTCAAAATATGCTACGGATATATTATTTAAAATCCAAAACGTTTACCTGTCGAGCGATCTTCATTCTGACAGCTGATATCGGCTGAGCTACCACAAGGAGATGAAAATTAAAACTGGCATGTGGGAAATTCCTGGAAAATTTCCAGTAAGAAATAAATTAGATTTTCCAGTAAAAATGTTGAGATTACGCGTCAGAGTTTGCTTTAAAACATTGTTAATCAATGTTAAATCAATTCCCAGTATTTTTCAAGGAAATTTTGTGAGGACAATTCGCGTAATCCTGACTTACTTAATTATAAATGCGAAAATGTTTTTTTTGCCTGTTACAAGTACATGTTTACGCTTAAACCACTGAACCAATTTAGATGAAATTTGGGCAAGAATTAGTTTGAGACCCAGGCAAAAACATAGGATAGTTTTTATTTTAATTTAGCTTAATACAATTATTATTATTTAATTCCTCCTCTCCATTGTTGTTGTGCCCGACAATCATGGTGACCTAATTAAATTCTGTAACACCATATCATGCAATAAAGTATTGAGAATCCCCATTTTTTGAAAGAATAAAGTCTTTCTGAGAGAAACCAAAATTTCCGCGGGCGAAGCCACGAGCAGACAGTAGTTTATGAATATACAGAGTTTCCATACCTCAGAATATCTACTACGTGTTAACGAAGTAACGCTTCTTGAATTTTATGCACCACATTTATATCCAACTGAAAGACACAAATATGATCCTCATTTACCAGGGATTGTTTCTGGAATTTTCCAGACATTTCCTATGGAAATTCCAGCGGAGACAAGTTTATTCCATTATATTTCAGTGTCTCAAGTTCCTTTTATGCGCTGGTTTCCAGAAAGTATGAGGAATGAAAATTATTTGAACTCTGCAAGTTTGTTATATGTTTATAGAAGATTTTTAAAGGATGAGATTTTTGTGTGTTTTGGTTACATTAAGTTTTTCCTGAAAGCTCTTCGTTAAAAAGGAATCAGGGAAAGTGAAATCTGTGAAATAATTAAAATTGGAATAAAAATTAAAAAAAATCTTGTGAATATAGGTATCTAATGGCTGATGGTCTCACACATGAGCCTCTAAATCAGTGTTTCTAGTTTTATTTGTTTTATCGATGCAAGGCACATGTTTACAGTCAGTCAGTTTCAGTTAAGATGCAGCCAAAGTGTAGTTAAACTGGGAGTTTTTTTTTAAAGAAGTGCATAATTGCAAAATAGACGGTAATTTTGTTCTCTGTTTGCTAGTCCACAACGAAGCTGCACGAGCATCGAGTTACAAAGGCCCCACCTTTGGTGTTAAATGTATCGGAACGTTGAGCACTTAGTCGCTTACATATTTTTAGATATGGTTTTTCACATTCTCCTTTTTTAAATTTCGTGGATATTGAAAAATGATTATATGCCTTTTGCGTTGGTTTTTTTCAACTTTATTTTCTTTCATCAAAAAGCAACTAACTAAATGGCTTTACTAATAACATAAACTTACAAATATTACTAATACCTCTTTTGATTGATTACTTACTTACTTTTGAGCGTATAGTTAAATTTTGCGTTAAAAAAAGTAAGATAGTTATAGATACTGAAGAAGTAATGAAGAATGATGTATGAAACACAGCGTGAGACGTCCACCCACAAGGTGGACCGATCACCTCATAAAGGTAGCAGGAAGGTACTGGTTGCAGGCTGCTACCAACCGGGCGACGTGTAAATTTGGGGGAGGCGTATGTTCGGCAGTGGACGTCCTGTGGCTGAAATGATGATGATGATGATGATGAAATCGCTCTATAATGTGTAATTAGGAACTAACGCAGTCGCATTCCTGTTCCTTTTAACTAAAGGGTGACTAAACTCTGTTCCTTGATTGTTTGCACCCTGATGGGGTTTTATTTAAATTATTTGCGAAGGTCAAAGAGAAATCTTTCAATGTCGAGTTAGTCAAAGGATTTCAATTAACTATATTAAAATTCTTATTTTCGTCACTTCACTTGAAATTTGACGGTTATTTCTGAT